CGCGTCCGACTCATGGGCTGGCAGTTTGACACCCCTGATTTATACTGTTTACTATGTTTCTTGATATTTGTGATTACCTTAATAGCCATTTTTAATCTTTTAATACTATAGAACAAATTCAGTTATTCATGATTAATGATATACTGGAAAACTATGATCTCTATAACATTTAAAAATTCCTTAGGAGTGAAGGCAAAAAATCCTTTAAAAATTCCTTGTTTAATTTTTTTGTATTTTTCTTTTTTTTGGTTTTATGTATTATCTTTAAATATATAAAAAAAGAGAAAGAAAGCCAGTCCTCATGAGGAAGACAAACAATGGAAGAAAAAGAGAACTGGGGATCATCCTCTGTTCCTTTGATTCTTCCCTGCTAGTCATTGTTAAATGACCTGTCTTCATGTTGTTACTTTTGTCTTATCTCCAGCTCCCAACAGATGCAGTTGAAAATAATCTTTAGCATTCCCAATTTAAAAGTAGTCTTTTTCCTCTTATCTTGATGCAATATGTTTGCCATAGACATGATCTAGGACAGTGGTTCTCAACCTGTGGGTCGGGACCCCATTTGGGGTCGAATGACCATTTCACGGGGGTCGCCAAACAACGCAGTCCGCCATTTTTCCCCCCTTTTCCTTAGCTGTGCTACTCCCTTTTATTCTACTGGCTTTTGAAAGCCAATAGAATAGACTCTCTTGAATAGAGTCTAATTCTATTGGTTTTCAAAAGCCAATAGGAATTGTCCAGGCTGTCTCTGCCTTGCTGAGCCCGCCAAAAGTCCCATTCTGCAAACGGTGCTGCACCAGTTGAGTAGTCCTTGACTTACGATCAGTTGAGTAGTCCTCGACTTACGACCGGTTGGGGGTCGCGGCATTAAAAAGGTTGAGAACCACTGATCTAGGATGTTTGTCAATGAGATGGATGATGATGTAGTCAAGATCTGGGCCTCTATAAGCTTTGTTGGGTTTCCCCTCTCCCTGAAATATCCTCATTACACAATGAATACACTAATATCTTCAGAAATAATATAATGCCGAATAATTTCCCAATGAAAAACCTCAAACATATTGTTATGTCCTGGGTCTGCTGAGTGACTCAGCAGGTGCAGGAAGCTGCAGAGAGGCCCGGGCAGACCACGTGGATGCCCGGGACCAGACAGGCTGTCTCCAACCTATTGCGTATGCGCAAGGTGGGAGAATCCGTTGCATTGATTGGCTGACACTGTCCCTGCAAAGGGGTATAAGAGGAAACGGCGCCATTTTGTATTTTGGTTCTGTTGTGATATGAATAAAGAGAAGACTGTTGTTACTCCTGCCTCGTCTCAATGCTTTTACATCGAAAACAGAATACATATCAAAACATAAATGGCTTAAAAAGAACAAAAATTGACAAGAAGCAGTTTATATCTTTTAAGTATCTTAATAAAGGCTGTTTAGAAGAGAATAGAATAGAATAATAGAATAATTAACTTTATTGTCACTTTGAATGTACGCTAATCGGCATACCCTAAAATGAAATTTCGTTGCATACAGCTCTCAAAGGGTATAACTCCGATATACACTACATAAATATGAATAAATAAATAAATACAGAATTATGCATATATCCAGATATATTATATGACACAGAGAAACAACAGTCTAGTACTGGTTATGCATACATGTGCATGTCAAAAAAAATGAATCTTCCAAGTTTACCAGTCGGATGGCAGAGGGAACAAAGCTATTACAGAATCGGGTAGTCCTGCTAGAAATACTTCAAAACCTCCTCCCAGAGGGGAGCAACAGAAACAGATCGTAAAGTGGGTGTGTGGGGTCTCTAATAATGCTTTCAGCTCTAAGCACATAGCACTTATAAACAGCATCCTGAATGGCAGGGAGCGAGCGTCCTATGATCTTCTTCCTTATCCTTACCATTCTCTGTATGGACTTTCTATCTGAGGCGCTGCTGCCACCAAACCTGGCAGTGATGCAGTTTGTTAAGATGCTCTCAATCGTGCCTGTAAAAAGTGGCCAGGACAGAAGGAGAAAGATGTGCTCTCCTCATCCGACCAGGAAATGCAAATGCGGGTTTGCATGCTTCACTAAGGATGACGCGTGGAGAGACTAATTCAGATTGTTAGTTATCTGCACCCCCAGATACTTAATACTGTTGACCACCTCTACAGCTGCATCCTTGATATTGAGTGGAGGATGACTATGCCGGGTCTTTCTAAAATCTACAATGATCTCCTTTGTTTTATCAACATTTAGAATCAGGTTACTTTTATTGCAGCAGTCCACCAGAGCCTTCATGTCTTCCCTATAAGCATCTTCATTGTCATCCTAGAAAGACCCACCACTGCCGTGTCGTCTGCATACTTCACAATATGATTTGTAGCAGATTTGGCACAGCAATGGTGGGTCATCAAGGTGAACTGTAGCAGAATCAGGACACAGCCCTGTGGAGAACCTGTACTCAAGAAGATGGAGTTGGAAACTTTCTTTCCGACTCATACAATCCGGGGCCTATCGATAAGGAAATCAAGTATCCAGTTACCGTACTTTCCGGCATATAAGACAACTTTCAAAAGCGTTGAAATTGGTGCCGAAGTCAGGGGTCGTCTTATACGCTGAGTCGTCTTATACGCCGGAAATAACAGTAGTTTCCGGCATATAAGATGACTTTCTAGGCATGCAACTTGGCGCCAAAGTCAGGGGTCGTCTTATACGCCGGAATATACGGTACATAAAGGAGTATTACAACCTAATAGGCCCAGGTTGTTCACCAGATGCTGAGGGATGATTGTGTTGAACACTGAGTAAAAATCCACAAACAGCATTCACATTTTTATATATTATATATTTAGTTTAATGTAAAAATTATGACAAAAGGCAGGATATCTTAAAAAATCTCTAGCTACATCTTAGAAGTGTTTGAGTAGATACTGCACTTGCTAATATAGATGACCATGCATCCATTTAGGAAATATGAGAATATGTAACTCCAAGCTAAAATCCAATACTTTTTCTACATACTTGAATGTATTGTAGGGGAAAAAAAAAGGGGGGGGGAAATCATACTATGTTTGCATAAATATTGTTCCTCACATACCTTTTAGTGCATTCTCTCTTTCTCTCTCTCCATCCACACTCTGTGTTTGTGTGTTTGTGTGATGCCTATTCCTTTTCATATCTGATTGCCCTTAGTCAACATGAAACCATCTGAAGATACTGTCAGCGTATTTATGATGATGCACTCTAAATATGCTGGTGACAGTCAGGCATAAACCAAGTATGCTGCTTCTAGCTCACAAAACCTTTAAAAAAACTGGAGCAACCATTCTATTCTCTAACTAAATTGAGAATATATAAAAGTTTAAAATATGTTACTCAAATGCTAAATTATTAGTAGCCGTTAAATCATATGTCATAGTTTTAACAAAAGAATGCATAGTGCTAATACATGTTTTGGCCAGAATTTATGTAAAGTCATGTAAATTCCATTGAAAAGTTAGACAAATACTTTTGGGAGCATATATCCCAGTGAAGCCCCTCCCACTAATATTATATAGATCAGATTAGGCAGGGATCCAAGTACTCTACCATCTGAAACAAAGCTAATCACTCTACAGCAGTGTTTCTCAACCTTGACAATTTTAAGGCATGTGGACTTCAACTCCCAGAATTCCACAGCCAGCATTGCTGGCTGTGGAATTCTGGGAGTTGAAGTCCACATACCTTAAAATTGTCAAGGTTGAGAAACACTGCTCTACAGAATGTGGTTTTTTCAGTTATAATCCCTGGACTTTTTTCCTAGGGAATTGTTTTAGGTCCATGGATTATCATATTTTGATGCATATTAAGATGTTGCTTTGTATAGGTTATGCCTTGAATAAGTTGTGCTAACATATAATTTATGATTTATTTCATTGAGGATTCAATATGGTATCAACAATATTTAAAATATTAATATTTTAATATAACATTTCTCGGGAGATTCGTCTTGTGGGTTCAGAGCCAACCAAGGTGCTATACTCCCAGTTTGCCAAATGTTTTAAAACAGGAAATTGTTGATTCTAATCTTGCCTACCTCCTCCCTACTCCTCCCTTCCCTTCCCTTCCCTTTACTCTCCTTTCCTTCCTTTTGTCATCCATTTACTCCCTTCCCTTCCCTTTCCTTCCTTCCTTTTGTGTTTGGGTAACATGCTTATCAAGCAACTGGGAATAACGATAAAGCAAAAGTATAGGCTCTCATCAGTGGGCACATCACTTACCAGTCACTACAGGGTATGTCTGGGGTTATGTTGTTCCCCAGGTCTGGGTTAGCAGAGGTGGATAGGCTTTCCTTTCCTTTCCTTTCCTTTCCTTTCCTTTCCTTTCCTTTCCTTTCCTTTCCTTCCCTTCCCTTCCCTTCCCCTTCCCTTCCTTTTGTGTTTGGGTAACATGCTTATCAAGCAACGGGGAATAATGATAAAGCAAAAGTATAGGCTCTCATCAGTGGGCACATCACTTACCAGTCACTACAGGGTATGTCTGGGGTCCTGACATGTTGTTCCCCAGGTCTGGGTTAGCAGAGGTGGATAGATTTTCCTTTCCTTTCCTTTCCTTTCCTTTCCTTTCCTTTCCTTTCCTTTCCTTTCCTTCCCTTCCCTTCCCTTCCCTTCCCTTCCCTTCCCTTCCTTTTGTGTTTGGGTAACATGCTTATCAAGCAACTGGGAATAATGATAAAGCAAAAGTATAGGCTCTCATCAGTGGGCACATCACTTACCAGTCACTACAGGGCGTTGTTCCCCAGGTCTGGGTTAGCAGAGGTGGATAGACTTTCCTTTCCTTTCCTTTCCTTTCCTTTCCTTTCCTTTCCTTTCCTTTCCTTTCCTTTCCTTTCCTTTCCTTTCCTTCCCTTCCCTTCCCTTCCCTTCCCCTTCCCCTTCCCTTCCTTTTGTGTTTGGGTAACATGCTTATCAAGCAACGGGGAATAATGATAAAGCAAAAGTATAGGCTCTCATCAGTGGGCACATCACTTACCAGTCACTACAGGGTATGTCTGGGGTCCTGACACGTTGTTCCCCAGGTCTGGGTTAGCAGAGGTGGATAGACTTGACTTGACTTCATCAAGACCAGGGGTCAGAGCTGGGAGGGAATACTCATTACCCTGGGGAGGAGAGAAAAGAAAGCTTTCTAACTGATGGGCTGGAAGGAAGGGAAGAGCAGGCAGATGGAGGGGAGTGAAGGTTGCGGTCCCTGCGCAGATGGAAGCAAAGATGAGATAAATAAAACAAATGAAGAGCAAGATTTGGCCAGAGATGGCAACTTCCCAATGAATGCAAGTTCTCTCCCTCGGGAGCCAGATTCATCCCCGTTTATCTAGGGTGGCTGCCTTTATTCCCAGCAGGCAGCCACCCTGGATAAAACCAGAGCAAAACATGGGAGATCAGATTCAAAGACTGACTTTATTTTGAAGAAAATGTGATCCTTTTCTCCACAGAACGAGAGATGACTTCATACGGTGGGTTAAAGTTCTTGCCTGAACAGAAAAGATTATCGGCTTGCATTGTGAAAAAGCATTTTCCAATCCACTCTTGGGATCCTTTTTTTTTTAAAAAAAAAACTCTCCTCTTTTCTCCCCAACCCTTGTGCATTGGGGTATGAAATTGGGGTGGGGGCGGGCCACATGGCTAACAGAAGGATGGGAGGGGGAAAATTCATTGCATCTGAAAAGATGTCCTGTCCAAGAGGCATTGGGTAATTGCCTTTTTATTGTGGTAGCCTCCAAACCAGACGCAAGAACCAGAGAGACAATTTAAAAAAGCAGGAAAAGTTGTTCTGATTAATATTACATTAAATTAAAACTGATTTTCTGCTCTCTCTCTCTTTGCTTTGTGGTGGCTTCCCCCCCCCCCCCCAACTCCTCATCTATTTCCTTATGATCTACTTTCCTCCTGCTTCCCTCCTTCTTGGCCAGCCTCGATTGCCTAGTCGTTTCCAATTCCTTTTTGTATTGATCTTTCTGTAGAAATCAGTTTTGTAATTAGCTGCAAATTAGGCTTTCTGTTGGGGGGTGAGGCTAGCCTCTGATTTATCACTGGAGTAATTCGCTGTGATTGGAGAGAAATTAAAATGAACTCAATTAGGCTTTGGATTTGTTTTATGGGCCCCATTCAAAGTTTCTGGAGGAAGAATGACTGGGCTGGTGTTTAATAGTCTAATGAAAGTAAATAAAGGTTATTCATTGTAATACACTCAGACACTCAGGGATAGCAGAAACCCAGAGCTGGCTTCAACTTTAGTAGTTGGTTTACTGCTTGAGGTGGGATTTAAAGCTTTTGATTTTTGTGTACAGACAAATCACTTTGGATATAAATTGCAAGTCAGGGAGACAGGAAATGCAGAAGGCCTTTTCAGAGCAAAGCTTGCGTTTGGTATCTAGCAACAGGAAAAAAACCTGATTCCTTCTGGATGAGGCTTCCATGGCTTGGGCTGACCAGAAAAAAGAAGAAGGGTACAATGCATAAGGGAAGGTATGTCATGCATTATGCTTGGCACAGCACGAAATACATTTCAGTAGAAAAATTCTCCCTTTATTCCTTTCTTTTTTTTAGTAAACTGCAGGGTTTGTTAAAATAATGTATGCAGTTCAGCTTCAGGATAGAAAAATGTTCAAAGTTTAAACTTCGTTTCTTCTTTTATTGTAAGTTTTATTTCAAATGAATCATATGCAGTTCAGCTTCAGGATCCTTTTTGTTCAAAGTTTAAACTTCGTTTCTTCTTTTATTGTAAGTTTTATTTCAAATGAATCATACATTTTTTTTTTAGTGTTGTATACAGGAACAATAAGAGAAGTAAGACTCATAGGAGCTGTATGATGTGCAATTCTAAGATAAATTTTAAATTTAAAAAAGGCTAAATTCTAAAATATAGGAAGTATTAAAATATTAACGTATTAAATATTCTTTTACTATAATATTTTATGCAGATGCTTTCTGAATAGCACTAGATAAATATATGAACTTTTTTTTTAAGGACCAGTTTTCAAACTTTTCCTTCCCTTCCATATGTACACTGCCTAATTCTCATGATTTTAGGAGGCTTACAATATAGAAAACTAAGAATATCCATAAAATAATGAAAACAGTAAGCAATTACAGTGTTTAAATATAGTTAGCAGAAACTACTGCTACCATTAAGAGGATCTCCTACTACATGAATGCTCTCTTTTAGTAAACTGAATTTCAAGAACAAGAATGCACTTCTGACTTTGGGGCAAGTTGCTCCAGAGAGAGGAGACTGTCAATGAGAAAGTCTTTCTTTTTGAAGTTCTGTGCAACTGTGAAACTATTTGGGGAAACCATATAATAACAAGTACATTGTCTTGTAGGTGTAGCAAAGTAATTTAATCCACTTCATCACGTACTTATGTCAGTGTCTTTTGTAAATAATTATTTACAGTAAAATACAGAATACTGGGGCATATTTCTATGGATATATACTAGGTAAATATTTTCAAATTCTTAAAGAGTGACATAGATGTTGTGTCTGTATAGAAATATTAGTAGCATGTGACAGTTGGTGTGTTTGCCTACAATGGTTTAAATCTGTATATGTGATCTGTATCTGTATATACCAGTGGTTCTCAACCTTTTTAATGCCGTGACCCCCAACTGGTCGTAAGTCAAGGACTACACAACCGGTCGTAAGTCAAGAACTACTCAACTGGTGCAGCACCGTTTGCAGAATGGGACTTTTGGCGGGCTCAGCAGGGCAGAGACAGCCTGGACAATTCCTATTGGCTTTTGAAAGCCAATAGAATTAGACTCTATTCAAGAGAGTCTATTCTATTGGCTTTCAAAAGCCAATAGAATAAAAGGGAGTAGCACAGCTAAGGAAAAGGGGAAAAAAATGGCGGGCTGCGTTGTTTGGCGACCCCCGTGAAATGGTCGTTCGACCCCAAATGGGGTCCCGACCCACAGGTTGAGAACCACTGGTATATACTGTACTATTATATGTGTGGATGTGGATTGTAGTCAACTGTTGATGTGTTCTGCAAAAGCTTTTAAGGTTTAAAACTGGGCTGAGCCAAACATTTTTTCCACCTTTTTTTTTCAATAATTCCTATTCAACTGGATAGAAAACAAACTCCATTCAAAAGGCTTTTGGTTGGAGTTCGGTGTTACCAGCACTTATCTACCGGTAGGTAATAAAGTGCTAAGAATCTCTGAGAGTGTCCTGCCTTTCATTGTGAAATCCTCTCTCCATAGATCTGCAGCCTCCTTGCCTAAAAATGTTGATACTCTGAGGGAGCTCCTTTTAGGAAAGCCTGCCAGGAAGGCTACAGAATGTCAAGAAACTGAAAAAAAATCTTATAGCAGCACCTTCTGGTCAATCACTTTCAACAGCAACAAAAATGAAATCAGAAAGAAATGCATTCTAAAATACTCGCATGGTCTATGGTCCACATGCAGATGTGTTTTACACAAACGTGTGGAAAGAATCCAGAAAACGACGATATATAAATACAGCAAATTGGGCAAATATTCATGCTATGAATTATCTTTGTCTTAACAGTGATTGGCAAGTGCTGAAGATACTGATTTCTATATGATTTTCCAAAATATGTCAAAACTACAAATAAAAATGTGCTCTGTGCCATATAAAAGTGGACAGGCTTTTGCTGTACAACAGAGAACACATTTACATTACAAATTAGTTCTCTGGCAATTCGATCACCATAGTCGCCACCCCAGTTCTTGGAATGGTAATTTCATTTTAAGAATTATTTTAAGAATTTGCCCCATCAAGTGCTGTGGCCCCGGAAGGCATGATCATTAAAATTTGTAAGAGAAGTGAATCAACCGTTATCCGTTGCAGTTGTCAGGATCCCATCAACTTTGTTTTTCCGAGCGGGTCCCACCTGCTCAGATTTGATGTGCTCTGATGCCTGAAAGACGTCCGGGTAAGAAGGCCGCTCAAAGACGCGATCTAACGCTTCCAGTTGCTGTTGTGTGAAAGTATCAGCACGAAGATGCTTCCGCAAACTATCCACACTGTTCTGGGAATCACCATTGGGGACGGAGCCCTCCGTTACGTCTGTGAGACAGAGGAAGAGATAAGGACATTAGTGTGGCTTTTATTTGCTAAAGCATCATAGAATCATAGGGCTGGAAGAGACCGTGGAGGTCTTCTAGTCCTCCATAGCAGGAGACCTTAATCCATAACAGAGAAACGGTAGTCCAATCTTTTCTTGAGCACCTCCAGCGATGAAGCACCCAGAACTCCAGGAGGCAAACTCTTCTATTGGTTAATCATTCTCACTGTCAGGAAATTTCTCCTTAGTTCCAAGTTAGATCACTCTTTCACAATCTTCCACCCATTGCTTCGTGTCCTGCCCTCAGTTGGTTTGGAGAATAGGTTGACCCCCCTCATCTCTGTGATTACTCCTCAGGTACTATTCAGCCAGGTACCACCTATTCTATAGTTATGCATCTGGGTTTCCTTGCCTAAGTGCAGGATCGTTCTTTTCCTACCACCAAACTGCATCTTACTGGATAGGACCCAATGTTCAAGTCTGTCAAGGTCCTTCTGAATGTTGATTTTATTTTCCAAAGTATTAGCAATTCCCACCAGCTTGGTGTCATTTGCAAATCTGATGGGTACTCCTTCAATCCCCTCATCTAGGTTACTTATAAAGATGTTAAAGAGCATTGGTCCCAAGACCAAACCTTCAGGTACCCCACTGCATGCTTCTCTCCATTTGGAATAGAGTAGAATAGAGTAGAGTAGAGTAGAATAGAATAGAATAGAATAGAATAGAATAGAATAGAATAGAATAGAATAGAATAGAATAGAATAGAATACAATAGAATAGAATAGAATAGGAATAGAATAGAATAATAGAATTAGAAGGGACCTTGGAGGTCTTCTAGTCCAGCCTCCTGCTCAAGCAAGAGAACCTATACCATTTCAGACAAATGACTGTCTAGCTTCTTCTTAAAAACCTCCAGTGATGGAGCACCCACAATTTCTGAAGGCAAGCTGTTCCACTGGTTAATTGTCCTCACTGTTAGGAAGTTTCTCCTTAATTCCAGGTTGCTTCTCTCTTTGGTCAGTTTCCAACCATTGTTTCTTGTCCCGCCCTCTGGTGCTTTGGGGAATACTTTGAGGCCCTCTTTTTTGTGGTAGCCCCTCAAATACTGGAATACTGCTATTATGTCACTCCTGTTTCTTCTTTTCTTTAGACTAACCAAACCCAAGTCCTGCAGCCATTCTTCATATGTTTTAGTCTCCGGGCCTTTGATCATTTTAGTTGCTCTTCTCTGAACTTTTTCCAAAGTCTCAACATCTTTTTTGTAGTATGGTGACCAAAATTGGTTGCAGTATTCCAGGTGTGGTTTTACTAGGGTTTTATAAAGCGGTACTAATACTTCCCATGATCTTGATTCTATGCCTCTGTTTATACAACCCAGGATTGTATTAGCTTTTTTGGCTACTGCTGCACATTGTTGGCTATACTCAAGTGATCGTCCACTAGGATTCCAAGGTCCCTCTCACAGTTACTGTTTTTGAGCCAGGTCTCACCTAATCTGTACTTGTACCTTTGATTTTTCCTGCCTAAATGTAAAACTTCACTTTTCTCCACATTAAAACTCATTTTGTTGGATAGGGCCCCTTGTTCCCGCTTGTCAAGATCTTTTTGGATCCTGAGCTTGTCTTCTGGGGTTTTGGCTATTCCTGCCAGTTTAAATGTCATCATACATGTAGATGTAGTTCCATTGAGAATTACACACTGAGTGCAGTTGGTCAGCCAAATCCATCTTGTGTTGGTACTCACTGTCCCACATTGTTCTACCTTACCACATCCCATGACCTCTTTTAAACCCTGCAGTTCTAGAAATTAACTGAGCTTTTCTTCCATCTCAGACTCTTATTTATTTATTTAGCCTATGTGCCACACATCTCGCTTTGTGGTGGCTTAAAATTGTTAAAGATTGTATTCCATAATATTTATGCAACTTTTTTCTGTTAGAGAAAATGTCAGCTTTAAAACCACACTTAACCCTTGGCAGAGATATTTAACTTAGAGTTTGTCCTCTACCATCAATTGGTATATCTTGGCTGCATGGAATTATAATGTAGTGGTGAATGTTTGAAAGTTTGCCGATGTTAAAAAAATAAATCTACTATTGGCAACACAAGCCAGTGTGGAAAGAAACTTTTATGTGAATTGCAAACAATTTGTACATTTTAAAAGAAAGCATCTTGACATTTCTCACACTATTCCTATGCCATTGCTTTCATTACTCTTTGAAAGAAAAATATCTCCATCTTTCAACAGGAGCAGTTATGCAACAGTTGCAAAATCATATCACCTAAGATAAGATATACCGTATTTTCCGGCATATAAGACGACTGGGCGTATAAGACAACCCCCAACTTTGGAGAAGATTGCATGGTTAGAAAGTCATCTTATACGCCAGAAAATATGGTATTTTCCAGCATATAAGATGACTGGGTGTATAAGATGACCCCCGACTTTGGAGAAGATTTGCATGATTTAGAAAGTCGTCTTATACGCCGGAAAATACGGTACTCAAAGTGATTCAAAAAATTTATTTGAGTTAACTGAAAATGTGATCCTTCTTATACACCATACAAGTACATGTGCAGCCTCACTAGGTAAAATGATCTGTGTGTGTAACATCATAGTACCTTTTGTTACAGACTTCAAGTATAAGACTTCTTGATAACATTTTAGCAACACAAAGAAAAACATTTCCAGGGCAGAAATTATTTAGCATACATCCCACCTAATTTGCTCTATTCTTGCATTGGGCTAAAAGTATTGCAGTCTCTCACTTTTACCAGAAAAATATGGCACATCTGTAAAAGAGAAGAAACTTCCATATTCTCCTAATAGTGAATATGAAAATAAATTTAGAATAGTAGAGTTGGAAGGAACCTACTAATCATCTAGTCCCACCCCTCATCCAAGCAGGAGATGTTGCACCATTTCTGACAGATGGCAGTCCAGTCTCTATTTGAAAGCCCCCAGTGATGAAATTCCTACAACATCTGAAGGCAGTCTGTTCCATTGGCTAACTGTTGTCACTGTCAGAAAATTTCTCCTTATTTCCAGGTTGAATCTCTCCTTGAACAGTTTCCATCCGTTATTCCTTGTCTGGCCTTAATAATAATAATAATAATAATAATAATAATAATAATAATAATAATAATAATAATAATAATAGTAAAGTTGGAAGGGACCTTGGAGGTCATCTAGTCCAACCCCCTGCTCGGGCAGGAAACCCTACACCATTTCGGACAAATGGCTGTCCAGTCTCTTCTTAAAAACTTCCAGTGTTGGAGCATTTACTGCTTCTGGAGGCAAGCTGTTCCACTGATTAATTGTTCTCACTGTCAGGAAGTTTCTCCTTAGTTCTAGGTTGCTTCTCTCCTTGATTAGTTTCCACCCGTTGCTTCTTGTCCTGCCTTCAGGTGCTTTGGAAAATAGCTTAATTCCCTCTTCTTTATGGCAGCCTTGGAACACTGCTATCATGTCCCCCCTTGTCCTTCTCTTCGTTAAACTAGACATACCCAATTCTAGCAACCGTTCCTTATATGTTTTAGCCTCCAGTCCCCTAATCATCTTTGTTGCTCTTCTCTGTACTCTTTCTAGAGTCTCAACATCTTTTTTACATCGTGGTGACCAAAACTGGATGCAGTATTCCAAGTGTGGCCTTACCAAGGCATTGAAGAGTGGTATTAATACTTCACGTGATCTTGATTCTATCCTTCTGTTAATGCAGCCTAGCACTGTGTTGGCCTTTTTGGCAGCTGCCGCACACTGCTGGCTCATATTTAAGTGATTGTCTACTAGGACTCCGAGGTCCCTCTCACAGTTACTACTATTGAGCATGGTGCCACCTATGCTGTACTTGTGCATTTGGTTTTTCTTGCCTAAATGTAGAACCTTGCTTTTCTCACCATTGAATTTCATTTTGTTAGGTGCTTTGGAAAATAGGTTGATCCCCTCCTTTCTGTGACAGCCCCTCAAATATTGGAACATTGCTATCTTGTCTCCCCTGGTTCTTCTCTTCACTAGACTAGCCATTCCCAGTTCCTGTAGCCATTCTTCATATGTTTTAGCTTCCAGTCCCCTATTCATCTTTGTTGCTCTTCTCTGCACTTTATTTCTAGAGTCTCAACTTCTTTTTTACAGTGTGGAGACCAAAACTGGATGCAGTATTCTAGGTGTGGTCTTACTAAGGCTTTATAGAATGGCATTAGCACCTCAAGCGATCTTGATCAAATCCCTGTTAATGCAATTTAGGATTGCATTGGCTTTCTTGGCTGCTGCCTCATATTTAATTGATTGTCCCCTAAGACTCCAAGATCCCTCTCACAGTTACTGCTATTAAGCCTGGTGTCACCCAATCTATACCTGTACTTTTGATTTTTCTTGCCTAAGTGTAAGACTTTACTTTTCTCTACATTGAATTTCATTTTGTTAGATAGGGCCCAGTGCTCAAGTTTGTCAAGATCCATTTGGATCTTGAGCCTATCATCTAGGGTGTTGACTATTCCTGCCAGCTTAATATCATCTGCAAATTTGATATGTTCCCCTTCTATTCCCTCATCTAGGTCGTTCATGAAGATATTGAAAAATACTGGGCCTAAAATGGAACCTTGTGGTACTCCACTGCTTATTTCCCTCCATTTAGACGTAATACTACTTGTTGAGTACGGTTTGTCAGCCAGTTACAAATCCATCGGTGATGGATTCCACTTTTCCACTTTTTTTAGCTTTCCAAGAAATAGGTTGTGGTCTACTTTCTCGAATCCCTTGCTGAAGTCTAAATATACCATGTCCACAGCATTTCGCTGGTCTACTAATTTAGTCACTTTGTCAAAGAATGAAATAAGATTGGTTTGGCATGACCTGTTTTGAACAAACCCATGCTGGCTTCTAGTTATAACTTTATTTGTTTCTAGATGTTTGCAGATCTGTATTTTGATCATCTTTTCCAGAATCTTCCCAGGTATTGATGTTAGACTGTTTGGTCTGTAGTTTCCTGGGTCTGTTTTTTCTC